CAGGCATACCGGTCAACCTCTTCGGACGTTTACTTGTATAAAAAGCCTCAAAAATCTGTACAACTCGCGGCCGGGGGGGGGGCGCTGCGGACATGAAAAAGTACCCGCTGAGCAGCAGGAGGAGAGGAGAGGAGAGCGGAAAAAGTTCAAAACTTATTTCTAGCGGCAGGACAGGTTAAAAGATGGCTGTTGTTTATTGTTTTTTTAATCATCCTACAGGCTCTGACATGTTAGATGAAATTGAAAATCAGGTTTTGAAAAAATCCGTAAGACTTGAAAAGATCCGTGAGATTGGTTTGTACATTTTATTGTCAGCTGAGCTGTGATGAAAAGAAAAAGACCGTCAAATACCGTGAAACCGGTGAAAATGTTGAAAATACCGTGATATAAAATTTTGATCATATCGCCCACCCCTACTTGGAGTCAGCAATTGTGAATGTCGTTGCAGCCCTCCATTCTGAGCCTGGAAATATTAAAGGGGCAGTATTATGTGTTTCTCAGGCATATATTTAAATTCTATACCATAATAAAGTAACTATGTCTCCTTCAGTTGTTATTAAAATGCTTTTTAAATATTTAAATAGGAAATAAACTTGACTTCTCATCTTTTGTTTCTAAACACCTTGAAATTGGTCTTTGTCTCTTTGAGAACCTCCTTCCATTTCTGTACCACTCATTTCAGCACAGGGGTGGGTGTGTGTGCTCTGTGATGAGGAAGCTCTGCTTGGAGACACAGCCCAGAGGAGAAGCTGATCCCAAAATGCAGTTCTAGTCCCAACCTGTTGTTTTTGCTCCTCTGCCTGCTGCCTCAGGACACTACAGGATTTCTCAAACATTCATGAATGAGTCAAAGTAAGAATCTGGACATGTTTTTGATGAGAGGATAACATTATAACATGATATAAAACTCAAAAAATTGATTTTACATGAAATTGCCCCTTTAACTTTTGCGCACAAGTTTATTAAAAATAATTACTATAAACACAGAAACTTAGATGTTTGGTAGAACATTCAAGTTTAAGTCTAAGAACATCTTTGTTTATTTAATAATTAATATGAAGAAACAAGTCTCTGAGCCTCAGTGGAGAGTTTTCATGATATGACACGATGTTGGAGAGTTAAATTTACAGATGAGACTGTTCCATTCAAGGCCGGATTATCCCATGGGCCTTCTGGGCACGGGCCCAGGTGCTCACGCCCACTTGGGGGCCAATGAAGAAAGGGGAAAAAATAAACAAAAATGGTGCTATTTGCATTACTTGGTAAAATAACATGCGCATAACAGATGCAAGATACATGTGGGACATGTCCCCCACACTTCTTGTGTCTGTGGTTTTGTCCCTGCACTTTTTAAACTGATTATTTCCATTTAATTTATTAACACACGTTTTTTCCGAGCCGTCTTTAAACGCACCAAAACGCATGTGCCACACAGGGAGAAGTCCTGCTGAGCCAGTGTTGCCAGGTGTACAATAATTATCGTATTTGTACGATAATTTTGCCCTCTGTACGATCTAATCCCAAAAATCCCATGATGTACGATAATTTGACCACTCCAATGTGTGACGTAATTGACCCGACACACTGCTCGCTGACATGAGAGGTGGCGGTTTGTGGAACACAGTGTGATTTAGCGACTTCCTCGCTATATTTACAGAGTTTTCAGACCCCTCTAGAGACTATTATTCAGAAAAGAAACTAGTGAAAATCTAGCGACTCTTTTTCTGGTGTTATTGAAACTTATAGAGACTCTGCGGTGAACGCATTTTCTCCATTGTGCAGTGGGTGCTGCTGAGAGCTCCTGCTCCTCGGTCCCAGAGCACCGACAATAGGCTTCTTCACGCTGCGTCTCTCTCCCTGCTGCAGACAGATATCCATCGTCCCATCCAAACATGAATTAAATACTGCTGCTGCTGACTGATCCATGATGGGATGTTAATAAAAACATTTCTATKGTTAAAATAGATCCCTTTGCCGGTCCCTAGCCAATAGAAAGGAGTTTAGAGCTGTGACAGTAATATAAATATATATAAATATATATATACACCTCTCCTTGGGCTGCGACCTTATCGTGGTGGAGGGGTTTGAGTGTCCCAATGATCCTAGGAKCTATGCTGTCTGGGGCTTTATGCCC